TCAGAGATTCTCTCCTCAGCTGTGTCCAGTCTCCGACTGAGTCCAACAAAGACATTCTTTATTTCTGTTAGAGTTTCTGATCTCTTCTATTTCTTTTTGATTCTTTCTTAGAATTTTCATCTCTCTGCTTACATTATCCATCTGTTCTCATGTGTTGTCTACTTTGCCCAAGAAAGCCTTTAGCACATTCATCATAGATTTTTATTTTTATTTATTTATTTTTAATTAATTTTTATTGGAATATAGTTGCTTTACAAAGTTGTGTTAGTTTCTACTGTACAGCAAAATGAATCAGCTACACAAATACATATATCCCCTCTTTTTTGGATTTTCTTTCCATTTAGGTCACCACAGTACATTAAGTTCCCTGTGCTATACAGTATGTTCTTATTAGTTGTGTATTTTATATGTAGTATCAATAGTGTATATGTGTCAATCCCAATCTCCCAATTCCTCTCACCCCATCGTTTCCACCTTGGTATCCATACATTTGTTCTCTATGTCTGTGTCTGTATTTCTGCTTTGCAAATAAGATCATCTATACCATTTTTCTAGATTCCACATATATGTGTTAATATACAATATTTGTTTTTCTCTGACTGACTTCACTCTGTATAACACTCTGTAGGTCCATCCACATCTCTACAAATGACCCAATTTCGTTCCTTTTTATGGCTGAGTAATATTCCATTGTATATATGTGCCACATCTTCTTTATCCATTCATCTGCTGATGGACATCTAGGCTGCTTCTGTGTCCTGGCTATTGTAAATAGTGCTGCAATGAACATTGGGGTGCATGTGTCTTTTTGAATTATGGTTTTCTCAGGGTATATGCCCAGTAGTGGGATTGCTGGGTGATATGGTAGTTCTATTTTTAGTTTTTGAAGGAAACTCCATACTGTTTTCCATAGTGGCTGTATCAATTTCTTCATAGATTTTTAAAATTCCTGGTCTGATAATTTCAACATTCCTGCAAGGACTCTAGTTCTGATAACTCTTCAGTCTCTTCAAACTATGTTTTTTGCCTTTTAGTATGCCTTGTAATTTTTCATTGAAAGGTGGACATGATGTACCAGGTAAAAGGAATTTTACTTCCTCAGGAAAGCTCTGCCCTCCCAAACAAAACACAAGTCCCTAGGTCAGGTTTCCCTTGTAGCAGTTATTTTATTTGTATATCTCTCACACCACACTAGACTATATTTTTCAAGGTATAAGGGCCCATGTTTGTGTTGCTCACCATTTTCTTGCCTAACATAGTGCATGGTGCATAGTGGGCAGGCAACAAATACTTGGTGAATGAATGAAAATCCATTCTAATTTTGCATAAATTGTCCATTTTCAACTCAAATTCAAAAAAAAACATACACAGAAACAATAGCAACAACAAAATAAAAACAGGTTAGGGACAAAAATGAGGGAATAATACTGGGCATAAGAGAGAAAAATTTGTGGAAACTATGAGGAATTGGAAGACAGCATTATCTTGTGTACAGGCATTCAAAATTCAAATAACTTTGTAATGCTGTGAGGACAAAATAAAGTATGTCCATATACCAGTTTTGATTATAGGCTGTCAGTTTGCAGTGCTTGCCTTAAATAAATTGATATATCCATTATATATTCACTATTGGTTATAGGCTGCCAGTTTGCAATGCTTAAGTTGATATATCCATTATATATTCAATACAAATGACATTTAATGCCCTGAAAATATGCTCACATATATTAAGTAAAACAAAAACAAAAGCATGCTAAACAAGCAGCAGCAGCATTCTCGTTTTATTTAAAAATACACCTAGGGCTTCCCTGGTGGTGCAGTGGTTGAGAATCTGCCTGCTAATGCAGGGGACACGGGTTCGAGCCCTAGTCTGGGAGGATCCCACATGCCACGGAGCATCTGGGCCCGTGAGCCTCAACTACCGAGCCTGCGTGTCTGGAGCCTGTGCTCCTCAACAGGAGAGGCCGCGATAGTGAGAGGCCCGCGCACTGTGATGAAGAGTGGCCCCTGCTTGCCACAGCTAGAGAAAGCCCTCGTGCAGAAACGAAGACCCAACACAGCAAAAATAAATAAATTAATAAACTCCTACCCCCAACATCTAAAAAAAAAAAAAAATACACCTAAAAAACACTGAAAATAGTTGGACTAAAATGTCATCAGTGGCTATCTCTAGCTGATGGAATTATATGTTCCTGTGTGTGTGCTTTTCTATATTTTGTTAATGCTCTACAATGAATATGTATTGTTTTTGTATCCAGAATTAAATTGTTTTTACAAGGTAGAGAATTAACTTGGGTGGCAATGTAGAGGATAAAATGGAGTAGAGTAGGATCAGAGGCAGAGAGATTAATAGACTTTTGCAATAGAATGGATGAAAGATGGTAGAAGCCAAATTAAGGCAGTAGTTGTGAGGCAAAGAAAGTAATTAGGTAGTGAGAACATAGAACATAGAACGAATGAATAGGATTTGATAATCTTGGATCCATTTAGGTTGGAGATAAAGGCTAAGGAAACATTAGTTTAAACACTGTAATTCCATTAGTAACCCTGGATCTATATGGGTTGGGGTGGAGATAAGGGATATGAATTCATTAGTCTTATATACGGTAAATGAAATTGTGAACTTAAATGAGATTCCTTAGGGACAGTATATAAAATAGAAATAGGGCAATGGCCAGAATCATGGGGAACTCTTAATATTTAAGAACCAGATAGAGGAAGAAAGGCCTATAAAGAATAAGCAGGATTGATTAAAAAGGTAAAGCAACTAGGTTATCATGGAAACTAAAGGAAGGAAGGAAGGAAGGAAGGAAGGTTCAAGTAGGAATTGGTCAATGATGCTAGCGGAGAAAGCACCGTGCTTGCTTCTGAAGTTTGCATCCTGTGAAAGGACCTCAATTAGTTCTGGGTCTTCCTCTACACTTGGGGAGATTGAGTGACTTATAAAATTAGTAAATTTGTGAAGAATGTCTGATTTAGCTTTGTCTTCCAACCTCAAAGAACAAGGTTGTCCAGAGACCAAATTCCCATTTGATCCTCCATGCTGTCCCTGTCAAGTGTTGTTGCTAGGAATTGGAGGTATAAATCTGCCTAATTCTGGGGATCAGTTGGCAGGCCGATTTGGTTTTCCCACTACACAACATCAATCAACTTAACTTTATCTGTAATAAAGTGATATTTTGGCCCCCATTTCTATCCTTTGCTTTATTTCCCAAATTGTTCAGAACCTAGGCAAGAAGAGGGGGATTAGTTTACTGGGACCCACTTGGAAACTGCAAAAATTGATGCCAAATTCCACACCAGGTAATTTGTGGAATTACCTGGGAGAGGCTAATGACTTTGGCAATTAGGAAGTAATCATAGATCACTATCTTCTTAATAAAGTCAAACAATTTTTCCAAGGGAGGCAATTGAGGAAATGTCTCCATGGAGATTTTGGTGGGACAATGTTAACTACTGCCCCAATCCTTGTTTTGTAAGATTCTCTAAGAATGGGACTATGCCACCCAGGGGACTATATTAGTCAGGGATATTTTAGTTGCACATGTATAAAACGTACCTTGAAATAGCTTAAATGAGAGCAGCAGGTGTGGGAGGGAAAAAAGACAGAACTTAGTGGCCACTTAATTAATGGACAACGGGTTAGTCTATGATCCTGGATTTCAAATGCTATCTGGACTCTAGTCTCTATTGCTTATAATACCTTGGTGTGTTTTTTCTACAGGCATACCTTGCTTTGTTACATTTCACTTTACTGCATTTTGCAGATACTGCATTTTTTAAATAAAAGGTTTGTAGCAACTCTGCACTGAGCATACCTATTGGCACCACTTTTCCAATAGCATTTGCTCCCTTTGTATCTCTGTGTCACATTTTGTAATTCTCACATTTCAAACTTTTTCATTATTACTATATATGATTTGGTTATCTGTGAAACTACTTTGATGTTACTACTATGACTTGCTGAAGACTCAGATGATGGTAGCATTTTTTAGCAGTATTTTTATTTAAGGTATAATGCTTAAACATGCTTAAGACATAATGCTTTAATATGTTTAACACATGATGCTATTGCATACTTAATAGACTAGAGTATGGTGTAAAAATAACTTTTGTAAACACGGGGAAATCAACAAATTTGTGACTCACTTTATTGATATTTGCTTTCTTGTGGTAGTCTGGAACCGAACCTGCAATACCTCCAAGGAACACCTGTATATGGTAAGGTAGGTTTGCTCCCTGTTGTGCCAAAGATGGTAAGTGGCAGCTCTAGCCTCAGTAAAATTGTCATACATTACTCTGGAGATTGGCTTGGATATCTTGTCATAAAGATATCTTTATGACAGGGGAAGTCATATAACTGACAGCTTTATTACATAAAGTATAGGAATCTCCTGAAAAGATGGACATACAAAAGTGTTGTTCACTACATTCTACCCTTGGCTACCCGGCACCTATACCTGTGCTTTCTTCAGTACACAGAATTTTAAAAATGCCCTAGTCTAAGACAATATAATTATAACATGGACAACTGAAATACTCTCTTCTCCAACAGGAGACATGCCAAACTCTCATCCAATTTTTCCATCTTGCTCTTGGAAACCAAGAGTTCTAGGTGATATGCATTTCTTAAACCAGGTTTGAATGTAGCACATCATGGTACAGCATGATAAAGATAATTTTATTAGATATTGGTATACACTTAAGGAAAGTAAGGGCACTCTAATTAGCTAGTAGATGAGGTTCTTGGTTAGTTAATACATCCTTTTTTTTTTTTCTTGGCTGTGTTGGGTCTTTGTTGCTGCGTGCAGGCTTTCTCTAGTTGAGGTGAGTGGGGGCTACTCTTTATTGCGGTGCACAGGCTTCTCATTGTGGTGGCTTCTCTTGTGGCAGAGCAGGGGCTCTAGGTGCACAGGCTTCAGTAGTTGCGGCGTGTAGGCTCAGTAGTTGTGGCTTGTGGGCTCTAGAGCACAAGCTTAGTAGTTGTGGCGCATGGGCTTAGTTGCTCCGCGGCATGTGGGATCTTCCCGGACCAGGGCTCGAACCCGTGCCCCATGCGTTGGCAGGCGGATTCTTAACTACTGCGTCACCAGGGAAGTCCAATTAATATGTCTTGAGTTTGTGCTCTGGAAGGTGCTCCCTGATCCCTTGCCCATAATAAGAGGGTACTGGAATTAAGCAATCATAGGCCTTTGTTTGCAAGACTTGGTATTTTTTGTCTATACAAGTCTCTTACAATCTTAGTTGGTTGCTGGTCACCTTGCTTTTTGGTAACTCTGGTTTAGAAACCAAAAACAGAGATGGTGTGTTAATCTGTTTTCTGTCCCTTAGCAATGTGTTACAGTTTGGAATGCAATGTCTATCCTCCAGTCAACTAAATTAACTATGTATTTCTAATTTGGCCTTTGCATCCAAAATCATAAGCTGAGCAATGAGTTTAGGGATAATGCAGCTAGGATTTATCTCTGTCCACTTGCCTCCAAGTTGCATCTCAGGGAATGGTTCCTCACAATGGGACTAATTTGTCAAACTTTGTCAGATAGGATATACACAGCAAGAGATGCATGAGGTGATCAAGAATCAGGCTTTTTTCAGGGTTCCAATTATATCTTTTACTGAGTTTTTAACTCCTTAGCTGTGTTTGCACTAACTTTAGCTCAGGACAGAGAATATGGGTTTTCCAAACCTGTACATTGCAGGTTTAGTTGATTCTCAGTCACATGAATTACTGAGTACATGCAGAAAGGGAGTGCCTTAGAAATATACAGTTGTTCCTCGGTACTCAAAGGTGACTGGTTCCAGAACCTGCCACAGATAGCAAAATCTGTGGATGCTTGGGTCCAGTAGTCAACCCTCCAGATCTGTGGATTCTGCATTTGCAGATTTAATCATGTATGTGGAGTCCCCCAATACTGAGGGCCACTGTATTTATTTTTAAAAATTCGCACAGTTTAAGGGTTAACTGTATTCTTTCTTCTGCATTCATATAGGCAGCTTGAACTGAAATGTATCCCTTTCTTGTAGGACCTTGCTAATGGACACACTGCAAAATCCTGACATTTTTCTACCAATTCCCCTAAAACGTTAACCTTGATATAGATATTGTCTAAGATCTAAAATTTAACAATTTGCTTGCTTGCTACAACATAGTAAATATTAACGAACCTCCTAAGCCAAGGAATCGTTATCACTGTGCATGCCACCTAGACTTACCAGTTTTACATTTCAGGGTGTGTCATTTGTTGACACTGGTATTATTTTATATACTAGTCAGGAATAAAAACCCAAACCTTGCCATTTTGAGATTTCTTACTCTTTTCCAGTTTAACAGTCCGTTTGAATTTCACATCAATTTTGGATGCAAGTTCAGGGAATTCAAAGTTTAACATATTATTAGGCTTTTCTCTCTCTCTAAGATTTTATCTGGTTGCTGGAGGTAAGTCCTTCACTACCATGGCATTGCTGGAGGTGCATCTGGCCTGCTTGCTGTCTAAATTTGTTGCTGTAAGGTCTATTGTTGATACAATTTGCAATCTATTCTCTCAAAATGTGATTGTCTTTCCTCTGCCCTTACTTTAGAATTTATGGGAGTTAGTGTCTTTTCAATAGGATCCTCTATCCAATCCATGGATTCATACCACAGCCTGTGCCATGAGTTTCAATCACCCTGTACTGCAGCAAGCCTGTGTAAAGCAATTGCGCTCTTACTGTGAATCAAATTTACATACCTCTTAAGGAATTCTGTATCTCCTTTTCAGTTCAGTGTAGTCAAGGAACATGCAGGAGTGGGAGTGGTTATCAATGCTGCCTGGCCATCTGCTTAAACATATTATGTTGCCATTTCTACTTGATTGTAGTTGCCTGTGTTGGGCAAAGTTCCAGGTGGGAAACAGGACCCAAGCCACAAGCTCCTTGTTTTTGAATTCCGAAGTCTTCCTGGCAGTGTCTATCCCTTACCCCTTAGGGTTTCAACTCTGAGGAGAGAGCCAAGAAATATGTCTCAATTCATAAGCACTTTTTTCCTCTTGCAATATCATCAAGACTGCCTCTATTGTCTTGTAATGATTTCTTTCTCAGACATGTTTGTGCCACATGGTGACCAAAGGCCACAGATAATTTAAGCTTTTGCTTAACTTCAGCCAGAGTGAGGTGCCTCTTTCTCAATAATGCTAGCCAAAATGGTGAGGTTGTCTCTGATTAGCTCCTTTTGTTAACCTGCCCATTCCTAAACCAATCCCTATGACTGAGGAATTATGGTACTTTGGTTGGCTTGATTCATGGGCCCACTCCTGTGGTATGGGAGTTAAGACCAGGAAATGGATGGTTGCACCTGGAGAAACAAGGGTAGATCTATATTAGTTAGGACAAACTCTCAAATATCAGTGGGTCACACAAAAGAATGCATAAGAGGGGCTTCCCTGGTGGCGCAGTGGTTGAGAATCTGCCTGCCAATGCAGGGGACACGGGTTCGAGCCCTGGTCTGGGAAGATCCAACATGCCGTGGAGCAACTAGGCCCATGAGCCACAATTACTGAGCTTGCGTGTCTGGAGCCTGTGCTCCGCAACAAGAGAGGCCACGATAGTGAGAGGCCTATGCACTGCGATGAAGAGTGGCCCCCACTTGCCGCAACTAGAGAAAGCCCTTGCACAGAAACGAAGACCAAACACAGCCATAAAAAAATAAATTAATTTAAAAAAAAGAATGCAAAAGAACTCTAACACAAGTTAATAGGCAGGCAGCTATCCTCCAAGTGAAGATTCAGGAAACCAGAGTCCTTCCACCTTGTGGCTTCATCATCTTCAACACATGGCTTCCAATACAAATGTCTTAAGTTGCTGGGGAATGGGAGATGGAGAACTTTGCATGTGATATCTTTTATGGACCAGAGATGCAATAGGAGCTCATCACTTATACTCACATTCCACTGGTTAGAATCTAATTGGCACATCTAACTGGGAAGCCTAATTGCAAAGGAGGCTGGGAAATGTAATCTAACTCTGTGCCCAGAAGAAGAATCTAGTGTCTGCAAGTGTCCACTATTCTGATCACTAAATATCCATATTACCTCTCTTCCCAAACAAAGAACACATCCTACTCCAATAAAGACAACCTAGAAGTTCTATCCAGTTACTAGGTCGGGCTTAAAGTCTAGTTTTTAGGTAATGTGCAGTCCTCTTCATTAGGTCCAGATACAACCTATGAATTTAAAAACACAAGTTATCTCTAATATCACCCCAAATTCCAGGAAACATATTGTACAGTGGTAGATCAGAAACAGGTAACTACAATATGCTCTCATTAGGAAAAGAGAAAACTGTGAGACACTAGGCAATATAGATACATAACAATGATGAAATACTGAGCAGGCATTTTGTGGTCCATCTGTGAGAGTAGAGGAAATTTTGATGAGATCGCAATTTAGTTTTGGAGAGGAATTTGTCCTCTGTCTTCTGTATGGCCCAATAATGGCCTCTGAAATGTTTTCTGCCCATTATTACTCACGGCCACGTCCTATGTGAGTATTGGGGAGTTGTAAAGCATTTATGCTCTATTTTCTACTTATTCAAGTTTGGGATGGAACAGCTGCCTCAAGGTTTTAACACTTGAACAATATTTGAATCAAGTTCATATTTTGATCAGTAATAAAATTCCTTCAAAAATTTAGTCCTATGATCTATTTGCCTCCAGTAACTACACCCAAAGTTCTTACATGATTCTCTAACCCAATTTATTCCTTTGCTTCCTTGCCCCCGTGTCAGTTTCTCAAGAACTTCATCCCAGCCTCCTTGAGGCCATCGAAAATAACAGCCTTGGATGGAAAGGCCAAAGCCTTGATCTGATTTTTGTTCCGGCACTAAATCTTGGGAGGACTGTACTCAAGGCGTCTTCTAGTTTCATTTTTTTACTGTTCCAGGTCAAGAATTCCAAATATTCCTATGCACTTTCATTTCTGCAACTGTTTCCTGAGCTTATCTCTTTAGCAAAGTCTTGCTAAAAGTAAAATGCTAAAATGCAAAATACAGTATTACTTATACTCTTTTGAACTATTTCCTCTTATTATTGAGATTGTACTGAGCTACAGTCTCAATAGGTAGGTAATAGTTTTACCCCCCATTTTGCCACTGTGAAACATGGGTCTCCTTCCAGCCTCTGATACCAGTTTCTCCAACATCTGCTGCATCATCAGTAAGCCAATACAGCATATTTTATAGCATAAAAATATGGGGTACTGTCTAAGCAGTACCCCACTTCCAGCCCAATTTCTAGGTTAGTCATGGTCATTCTGGTTCCTGTAACATATGAATTCTCAAATCTCAATTTTCTCTCTTACAAGAAGTCCAAAAAGCAGTGTTTCTAATTTGGAGGTGTCTGTCTTCCAAGTAGTAATTTAGCCATTCATGCTCCTTCTCTCTTCTGGCTCTGGCATCTTCAAAATACAGTTTTTAAGATCACCATACTCACTAGCTTCAAGTTGATGGACAAAGAGTGAAGATGGAAGGACTTCATTAAGCCTGGAAATGAGCATGTCACTTCCTTTTACATTTCACTGGCTAAAAGTCATTCACATGACCACAAATAACTAAAGGGAAGTTGGGATATTTAGTCTAGCTGTTTGCCCAGGAAGAAGAAATAAGTTTCATGAATGACTAATCAAGTCTCTGTTACAAGGTTCTAAAAGGAAAAAAAATGCTACGTAAAAAGAACAGAAAGTCACTCCAGGGGCTTTGTCCATTCTAATAGGTGTGACCTTATTCTAATCGTTCCAACAAAATAATCATTTCCCTATTATATAAAAGAGTAAGAATTCATTTTGTTGTAAATAATGGGATTACTTCAAACAGAGTATTTGTGATAGTGTGATAGGTACATAAGTCAGACTGCAGAGGGTTAATAAGTGAAATTCAGATAACAAAAAGAGACACTGAATGTAGAATACTCTTTAAAGCTTGGTTGTGAAGGAAAGGAAACACAGTGGAACCACAAATGTAGAGGATTGAAGACAGAAAAGATAATAGAAGAGAACTCAGGGATTGGAACTAGAGTACAGACGGATAATTCATCTTATATAAGATCTGGGAGTGTCTCATTCCTCTGATATTGGAAGAAAGGAAAGATCCAGAAGTACCTAAGTTTCTAGCATTTGGAAAATTGAAGGAGTTTGTGACTAACAGCATCGATCTTCTTGTGAAGTTTGAAGTAAAGTCACATAATGAAATGTGGTTGGGATTTAAAGACGGCAGAAGTATTCTGGTGGGAAGGGAGAAAAAGGTGCTGAAGAATATATAAGTAGGAGGTTAAGACCTAAATCTGTAGTGTTAAGATACATAATGTAATGTACTGTTCTGCACAGAACTTAGCAACCGCTGTAGGAGAGGAACAGGCAGATGATTAGCACTTCGTGTGTATATTTACTATAACACGTATTACACTGTAAAGCCCCAGGAAGCAGAGACTTAGATTTTATAAACTATGCACACAGTAGGCACATGATGAATTTTTGCTTGAATGAATTGATTCAATCATTGCCAATTCTGCCATAGTACTCTGTAGAGTACTGGCAACTGCCCACATTTCATATGGTATGCCAATGCTAAAAAGAAAAAAAAAAAGGCTAAAAAAATTCAGGCATACTCAGCTAAACTTAGCAGTCTTAAAACGGCAACTACGTCAGCTGAGACATACTTTTTATCTTGTGCCAGTACATCTTTCTTTGATGTTTCCTTCATTTTCCGTATGCTACTGTGTTATTGAACCTGAAAGGGAGAATTCTAAGTTCAATAAGCTACGTTATTATTCCAAAAGTCCTGAAAGTTCTTCAGACACCTACAACTGAACTCACAACCCCCTTCACAATATTCCTTTCAAGAGATTCACAGACAAGGATGACTACTTATGATGCTTACTTCACAGATAAAAAGCTGAGTAGGTGAGTGGTGGAAAGACAAAATCGGGGTCATTCACTGAATCGTCAGCAGAGTCTGGCACAGATTCTGCTTCCTTCTCCTGTCTTCTCCCCTTGGAAACTTCAGAGTTGTAGTGATCTCAGACTTCACTTAGTCGAACTCCTTTAGGTTACACAGGTGTAAACTCAGGTTCAGGAAGTCTGACCCAAGACTTAGTCAAAGTGGGCTCTTTCCTTTACACGACGCCATCTCTCAAGATCCAGAGCCCTAACTCACCATTTGGCGGTAGAAAAAAATGGCCAGAAACGAAACTACGTACAAGAGTCCAGAACCAGGCTCCACCTCCCGGATCAGGCAGTCCGGGCCTCCAGCTAACAAAGCGTCTGGTCCGTGCTTCGGTATGGGTTCCCCACCCGGCCCAGGCTGCTCCTCTCCAGCCTGCCCGCCCGCCCCCAGCACCGCAGCACTGCCCGCCCGCGGGGGCCCAAGACCCGACCCTCGAAATCTCACTTTCGTGTTTCGGCCACCCGCGCGCCACCGCTCAGGCGACGGCTGATGGCGTCATCCGTACTTCCGCCTGCGGCTGCGTTCTAGTCATCAGCGAGGAAGGAAGAAGGGAGGTCTGAAGGGCTGTGTGCGGGGGAAATAGCGAGGAAAGAGAAGAAATCCGGGTGTAGCGGGCGCTACGGCAGTAACCGCGGCCCTCCTCTGTCCCCGGCGTCCCCCCATCGGAAGTCGCGCTAGGCACACTTCCCCCGACTCTGGGTAGTCTCCCCTCCGCTTGATCTCCCGACACCCCGGTCTCCCTCTTCTCCTCTAACCACCCCCTCCTAGCTCCCTCACGCTCCCTCCCTCTCCCTCCCTCCCATCGTCAGGCTCCCCGCCCTTAGTATCGCGAGACGAGGTGAGAGCTGGCGGAGCGGCGGCGGCGGCGGCAGCAGTAGAGGTGACCGAGGCGGTGGCGGCGGAGGCGGCACCGAGCGCTGTGTTGGTCCCGGTGCGGCCGAAATCGCGGTAGAGCGTAGCCCCCACGCCCCTCCCCCGTCCGCGCCCTCCCTCTTTCTCCGGAGATGGAGAAGGCTACGGTTCCGGTGGCGGCGGCGGCGGCGGCAGCTGAGGGAGAAGGGAGCCCCCCGGCGGTGGCGGCTGTGGCGGGCCCCCCCGCGGCTGCACCGGCGGCGGAGGTAGGCAGCGGCGTTGGCGGCGGCGGCGGCAGCGGGGCTTGCTCGGCCTCGTCTCCTCGTGGGATGGTGCGAGTCTGCGACCTGCTCCTGAAGAAGAAGCCGCTGCCGCAGCAACACCACAAGGCCAAGCGTAACCGGACTTGCCGACCCCCCAGCAGCAGCGAAAGCAGCAGCGACAGCGACAACAGCGGCGGCGGTGGAGGCGGTGGCGGAGGCGGCGGAGGCGGCGGCGGCACCAGCAGCAACAACAGCGAGGAAGAAGAGGACGACGACGACGAGGAAGAGGAGGTTTCTGAGGCAAGGGCCTGGTTTCAAGGGAAGGAGGGAGGAAGGGAGCGTAAAGGGTAGGGGCCAAAGGTGGGAGGGGACTTGCGGTGGGACAGATTCCTGTGGGCTTGATCTGTCTTAGGGGCCAGGCTTTCCACTGCCCCCTTTCTTTCCCCGGCCGAATTTGTGAGGTGTGGACATGTGGGGGAGGGTAGCTGACACGTGGGGGTGGGAGGACCACGGAGTGCACAGAGTTGGTGAACAGCACGTTACCCTGGCATGGTTCACTCGGTTTAGGATGGAGGGAATCGCTTAGATTCCCTCTTTGCCCAGCCAGCGGGGTCGGCCTTGGGCCAGTAGGGCCGTGTTACTCCTGGGGCGGGGGCGGGACCAAAGCTGGAGGGGTAAGATAATAGGTAGATGAGTCTCCTGAGGAACGACTAGGAGGTTGGTAAATTTCTCCCACTTGTGAGGTGGAGGGGAGCAGTTTTGGGGGGAGGCAAGGTTGTAATGGACTCAGAGCTAGGTATTTGTGTACGTGAGAGACACGTGAGAAGCTGTACTTTTCCATACTGTTCTGCTGCAGGTTTTTTTTTTTTTTCATAACTATTGTGGCTGCTGAAGTAACCTTCACTTCCTCAATCTCTCAAGGATTTTGGATGAACTGATCTTATGTCCATATACATTTATATGTAACTCAGTGGATGAAAAATATGTTTGATCCTTACATGTACATACTCTTACATTTTCAAATGCTTCCTTGGTGAGGAAGAATTAAGCTAGGCCTTGTTGCTTTCCACATAACGTCAGGCAGCTGAAGAGTCTGCTTTGGAGCCAGGCTTGGTTGTGGTGAGTTGGAATAGGAAGGCCTCTTGGTTTGTCCTAGTGATCTGGTTTCATAATAACTGTTTATAATTTTTCCTGGTTCCACAGACAGGCGGCGTTGCAGGACCTCATTCTTCAAAGAAGACCATTTAACCAAAACTCAGTAAAACATACCAACCATACTGAGAACAAGCGAAGAAGAGTTAGCCTTACTAGTTAGCAGCTCTTTTGTAACTCTTTTGTCCACTCCCTGAAATGGAAGCTTGAAAATCTTGATCTGAAGAAAGAAGTTGTAACTTAAGGCAGCAGAAGGAAAGCAGCTTTAAAGGCTGATTATAAATTAACTTATAAGAGAGAACAACTGAATTATCTAGAAGTACCACTTGCCATTTATTCTTTTCCACAAGCACAGCTAATTTTGGTAAAAGGCTGGTTTTTTGAAAATTGCATTATTGGAACTTGGGTTCCCTAATTTCAAATAGGGAAATACCTTTTAAAGAATTTGAGACTTGTCTGTTAGTAGAAGACCAGATTCTCTTTGACCTCAGGCTGGATGAAGTTATATCGGTAGAGATGTAATAAATAGTTCGTGCGTGTATACCAAAAAGATGGACACTCCCTGCTATTTCATTTAGCCTACTGAATTCTAAGGGTATGTTTGTAGTGATAGATTTTGTATTGACCTAGTTGGGTGTTTCAGGATAGTGTGTTGCTCAGCCTGCATATGAAACAGTGAAGAGAAGGATGTGACAGGATCCTTATTTCCAGTAAAATCTATTATATGGTAGTTAGAATCATTCAATTGTATTATTTTTACAGAGATGATAAACATTTTAGAGATAATCTCATCTAACCCGTTTATTTTAAAAATGAGACTTTTTTTTTTTTTTTTAAGGAAACTGGTTGTGGTGGTAACAGCAAAAGTGGAAATCAAAGTTTTCTAATGATTCAGACCAGTATACTTTTCATGACAATTTATTCCCTGTATCTCCCTCCTGACCTTTTTCAAAAACTAGGCGGTCAATTGCAAGGTAACACAATCATGCAGCTATGGGCAAAATACCAATATTTTATTAAGATTTTAAATTCTCAGATAAAGTATCAAGCTCTGGTTTGGAACTTAATATGAAGTTGAGTGCAGTACTTACTGAAATATGATTCTCTAAACTTCACATACCTAGATAGTTCTGTCCATTTGAATTGAGCCAAATAAGCAAAACTTTTAGTAATTCATAAATCATATAGAATAGGCTTAAGTTTGTAGGTGTGTTAGTTTTGTGAGTTGGGTTTGTTTTCCTTGGAAGATAGGAATGGTATATGTTGACTGATCAACTAGGGGAGTGTTTTCTTTGTTTTTAATATGCTTTATTCTGTCTTCTGTACAGTGGTGTAAACAGTGGGTTTGTCATTTGTTATGGAGCTGAGTCAGGAGAAATAAGTGGAAGAAAGCACAACCATTTGTATAAATCTATACAGGTACATGATGAGGGATAAGCAGACAGGAGGACAGTATGTCTCTGCACCTGCCTCCATCCTTGACCAGAATAGAGAAATAAATAAACGTAATTGTCACTGTACACTATAAGCTAAATGGATGAGTTGTGCAGTGTTTTTCATTTCATTACCATTTTATTGACATGTTAACAGAAGTTTAACTTTCTAGAGCTAGGAAATCTTGTGGCTAATACTTAATTGTACTTACTTCCTTTCTGTTATTGGCTACACAATGAAAAATATGGATAACGTCTTTGAGATTATTCTTCCAATAAAAAAATCATTGAAAGGTTAAGAAGGAGTAAGAAAGGTTATAGTTTTGGGATATTTAACCTACAAAAGTGGAGGATAATTTAACAAGAATATATATGTTTACTTCGATGAAACGCTAGCTGGATATTTTGTATATCTGCTGAAAGAGGGAACACTGGAAGGAAAGGAGATTCAATTTAAATAAAAGCTTTATTTGAATGTTCAAGAACAAGAATCTAATTTTTACTAAACGTTAGCATAGGTTATTGAGAATTGGATTTTCTCTTCAGTATTTCAGAATAAGGATAATCATGTTTTAGATAATTTGTGTAACTTCAGATATTCCTTTACCCACCTCCCCAATCTGATGCAAAACCTTAGATCAAAAACTGAAAATTGCAGTAATTTTCTCAGCTTTCAATGGGTGACTAACCAATATGGAAAATAGAAATGTATTTCCTAACATAAAAGTTGTGATGCACATCTTTTCCGATTAGTGGATTTCCAATTAGATGGAGCTTGGATTCATATCTTTGGTCCATCACACACTACGTTTGTGATCTTGGGCAAGTTACATAACCTCTCTCCAGTTTCCTTATATGTTAATGGTGATAATAGTAGATTCTATCTTATAGCATTGTTTTGAGAATTAAATGAGTTAATACAGTTTTCATGTATTCCCATTTTCACCCTTACACTGTGGTGTTGTCGTATTTGTTTCATTATTCATAAATGTTTGGAGTTTCTACTATATGGTAGGAGTTTTACTGTACTGAGTAAGCAACGGTGAGCAAAACTATTTTAAGACATTGATTTAAAAATATACCAATGATTAAATATAAGTTTGAGGAAGTATGAGAGTGAAAGCAAATGGTTAAATGTATATCCTGAATAAAGCGTATGAGAAGTATACAGATGTTCGGAGGGGATATTCATACTCATTTTAAAGGCAAAGATACTGGGTTAGAAGGGTTTTAGGTAACTTCATTAGGGTCACGTAGCTGATAAGTGGCAGAGCGAACTTAACCTGTGTTTGTTTGATTCAAAGCAAAGCCTGCCTATTCATTCACTCATTCACATACTCTGGTATGCCATATGATGTTGAGTACGACATCAGTGATGTTGGCATTTCAGATGAGTTAAAACAAATTCAGATGGCATAGGGGAAGATACTTTTTGGCAGTAGGACAACCACTGAAGACAAATTAGCTACCCTGAGCTTTGCTTTTCTTGTTCTGAAAAGCTCATTTAAAAAAAGAAAAGAAATACAGAGAAGTACAGATAAATATATTCATATTTCCACCATTTAGAAGTAACAGTTGCTAACAAAATGAAACTTTATAGTGAAAACCACCTTGTTGAGAGGCAATCTTTTTGCTTCTCCCTGCCTTTCAAGACTTAGGCTTTTTAAGGTTATCTTAGAAAAAAAAAAAATTTCCTTTTAAATAG